GAAGGAAAAAAACAAGAACAAAGGGAAGAAGTAGCAGGAGTTTAGTTCATTAGCCTAAATGCTGAAAAAGCAAACACAGTAAAGGTCTCAACAACAACCTTAACTCTGACCCTTCCCGGAAGCTTTTCCTGGGGAGCTCTGTCAGATTCATGACCACGTGTTATTATCCAATGTGATCTTTAGGTAGAGACTAGGTAAACGCACCTCTCTGCTTCTTTCTCATTTCTCAGATCGCTGATGAGAAACAGGAAACTCTTTGGGAATATAAAAGGTCCTATTCAGCCAACCTGGTCCTAGCAAACACCTCCTTAACTAAATGCCTCCGTTCTCACATTTTCTGCCCAAGCTTCGGGGGCTGGGTGGCCTCTGGGAATGAACAGCTGATTAAGGATTGGGCACCCGTGGCTTCTAACCTCACATTCTGCTGCTGATTTCTCGTGTGCCTTTGAGAAATCTTGTGATCTCTCTGTTTCCCCAGCTGTGAAATTTGGAGGGGGATCCTTGTTTGCCCATTCGGCAGGGATCTCGGGAAGCTAATAAGGAGCTAAGCTTTGCAGAAGTCAATGCTGTAATAGGTGATTAGTACTAAAATTTCCTTCGGTGTCTTCTAAAGTCACTTAAACTCCTCTCTGCCAACTACTTTCCCTGGTAACTCATTACCGATATGTATTACCTCTTGTGTCAAGTAACTGGGCCTTTACTCCTAGTTGTGCAATATTTAGATTAACTCCCTGAGTTCTCAGCCTCTTGCGAAACTCTTTCATCACTTTCAAACCCTCCCTCCCTTTCGGGGCATCTCTTTCACAATCCGAGTGAGCCACAATTAGGCACACGAGACCTGACACATGGTATCTGACATATGGTCATAGTACAGCTGAAAAACAACCTTTCCACACGTACTAAGAAAATCACAGTTTACACCACATTGGCCATCGCAATGCTGCTGATGTTGCAAAATTTAGCACCCAACCCATGTGGGGCTCTGGAGTATCCTCACGCGAGCTGATTTTCGTGTCTGTCTTCTCTATGGGATCTTTTCTGGACAAATATTAGTGTGAAAAATCATTCAACATAACCTGACAAGAATGAAGAAAGTCCAATAGAAACCGTGTTAGAATCATAGAATCCAAGAGTTGGAAAAGATCTCAGGAGTCATCAAGTCCAGCCCCCTGCCCAACGCTGTACCAACCCCAACTCAATCATCCCATCCGGGGCTTGGTCAAGCCGAGACTTAAACACCTCTAGGGATGGAGATTCCACCCCCTCCCTAGGGAACCCAGCCCAGCGCTTCCCCACCCGCCTATTTTCCTAATAGCCAAACTAGCCCTCCCCCACTGCAACTTGAGCCCATTGCTCCTCATTCTGCCGTCTGTCCCTACTGAGAACAGCCTCTCTCCGGCCTCTTTGGAACTTCCCTTCAGGAAGTTGCAGGCTGCTACCAAATCCCCCCCCCTTTTCTTCTGCAGACTAAACAAGCCCCAATCCAGATGTTCTTTTGGTTGGAAATGGCCCATGCCGGATCACTGAGCTAGATGATTTTTTCTGCTTGCCTAATAGCCTAAGAATAGACAAGCCGAGCCTGATTCTGATTCGCGTACGCTCCCCGACGTCGTGGGAGTCACCCTGCAGCAAGCCAGAGTAGATTTATGCTTAGCTGTGGTTGGAACCATGGGCTCTTCAGAATCACCGCAGGAGCACTGTGCCGTATGCTCTGGCCAGCGCTGAGACTGGCTGCCCCAACCCGCCCCTTCTGCCTGAGGCCCCTTCTGGGAGCATGGAGCCACCGCCATGCTTAACCCGGGCAACCCTGTTGGCTCCCCTGGCATGACCGATGGTGGCACAAAGGAAACTCAGTGGAAATTCCCTGTGTTGCTTGAATGGGCATTTTCCCTTTCAAGGACAGTCAGGGAAACACAAGCCAGCCACGCCGCACCCCTTGGAAAGTGAAAATCCCCTAAAAGACCAGAGGGGGGTTTCTTGGGCAGGGCGTGTCAGTTCCCAGGGATCTGGATCTAATTGTTTCTCACTCCCCAGCACAACCCACTCCTGCACCAATCACATGTTGAACATGTACACAGAGGCTGGTCCTGACTTGCCTTAAGTCTGGCACCTTTCTGCCATCGTCCAACAATCAGGAGCCCTTGATGCTGTCACATTAGTCATCACCCCTCTCCCCCCACCTGTTAAGGAAGGGATCTTCCCTAGACTCCAGGAGAAGACAAAGCGAACAACCACCAGTGTCCGGGAAAGGGATCGGTGTCATGCGGATTAATAAACAGCGTCAAAGTAGCACCTTCCTTCTCAGTAGATCTGCTCCTGGTGTGCGTCTTTACCTGCTCCTGGTGCAGACTAAGGGGAAACCCCCCCCAGCCAGGTTTGGGCGCTTGCCCTGCAGAGGCCAGGAAAGGATCCTGCGGGGGCTGTGGAGGATTTGGGTATTACAGTGAAGATGATGGCTTAACGACCTACCTGGGACAAATGTGGGTTCGTGGCCGTGTCCAAAGTCGGAACCCGGAGCTAACGGCAGCAGGCTCTGTGGCGGAGCACGTAACCTCAGTAGGTCTGGCACAGAGGGGGGTAGACTGTATGGACCATGCTCTGAGCCTTGCCTTGGATACACCAAATGGAGGGCGCTTTGTCCACCTCACAGTTAGGGAGGTTGTCCAGGCCTTGTAGCCCTTTTCTGAACCCTCTTCGATTGTTCAACACCCTCTTCTGAGGGAAGCCCGGGCCCGATATTCCAGTCATGGGCCCTTGGATGCTACCTACAGAAGTAAGAGCTCCGCCCGGATACGCTCCTGCTCATGCAGCAAAGCATCGTGCGTGGTCTCCCAGCTAAAGAATCATGCCAGGTGCCATGGTTAGTGTGACCCCGTCTTCAGTCCTGGGCCTTGCGTTTAGCTGTATTCAAATGTATCATCGTCAGAGGAACCCATCTCCCAAAGTGACCCAGCTAGGGCTGCACACCTGACTTGTCCCTCTTAGCATTTTGTCGCACCGAAATTTGTATATCGTCTCCAAATGTAAGAGAAACAACTGGGTGCTCAGAACTGTTTCTCTTCCTACGGCCACCCCAGTCCTGGGTTGCCAATGCAGACCAAAACCTAGAAGATTAGCTTAGACAGACCTGAAGTTTAGATGCTGGAATTTATAACACCCAGTGCCTTTGCGTTTGGAATCCTGTAATATTTGCATTATTGCACCATACAGGATAACAATGCAACAGAGCAGCTGTTGCCCACACAGTAAATATCAATCAACAGAAAAGTGAGACCATGCAATTTCAGACATCTCCAGACTTGCTTTGCCTGGTTCCTGAATCATGGGACTTAATTCACAGTCTTCTTCTCTCCATCTCTGCAAACTCTTTTTTCTCGTGACCATTTCAATTTATGCTTTTTCCCATGTTAAGAAAATCGGGCAGCTACCAGCAATGTAGACATATGCACAGAGTCACCATGGCAAAGTCCCTCACACAGGAGGAAATTGCATTAACATGATTCGCAGCACGTCCTTTATGCTCAGTTTGGAAGGTGCAGGAATAGAAAAGCAGCAGTGGCACAGAAATAGAAGATGTGATCCTGCAGCCCTTGACTGCAGTGGCATAAAATCAGGCATAGGGATGGTGTGTGTGCATGGACATAAACGTGTGCAATCAGATATGATCATCATTTGCATTTGTTAAAAACATGTTTCATCCTGTATTAGCAAGAACTCAGGAAATTGTCATTTTTGTTCTAAATAGCAGGCATGATCCAGTGTTTCAATAGCTGCATTTTCCTGATTTCTGGAGAGCAGGGACGATGTGGTAAAAGTAAAACTGGTTGAAAATTGGAATTTCTATCCTTACAAAAACAAAAAAACAAAAAACAAAAAAACAAAACCCAACCAAATCCCAAACAATTGAGATTTTGATTCTTTTCATTCTGAACAGGTATGAAAAGCCAAAATTACAAAATGTTTCAAGCCGTAAAATTCCGGGGAAATGTTTTAATTTTTGGATCAGCCAAAACATTTAGAAAAAAACCGGCCTTGACCCCTTTCTTTTAAATATAAACTAAAGTCCATTTCCAAATGAAATATCCAAACCTTGCATTCCAAAAATGTCAACATTGTCCATTTTTTTCTAAACAAAAAGTTATTGAAATCAGCACAGCTTTGTGAAAAAAGTCGGTTTTGTCGAAACGGCATTTTCCGGTGAAAAGCTATTTTGACAAAACTGAACTTTTTTCACAATTTTTTCAGAACAGCTCTAATTGAAAGGGCATTCATGCCTACTTAGTGCGCAGCACGTCGGCCCACATTAGAATTCGCACCATCTCCCATCTGTGCGCATGGTCGTGCCATCTAAACAAGCTCTGAGACGCCTAAATTAATGCTGTGGTTTTCCAAAGTGATGAACTCTACATTAATCATAGTAGAACTATTCCCATGCTTAAAAGCATGTGTAAAAATGTTGTTGCCAGATTGGAGCTGAAAACCAAACGTATTTCCCTTGATAACTAACGATGTTATTCTTTTTTTAAAAAGTGGGATTAAAACGACCAGATTGGAGCCGAAAACCGAACGTATTTCCCTTGATAACTAACAATGTTATTCTTTTTTTAAAAAGTGGGATTAAAACAATTAGGGGAAAAAAGTCGTTGAAGACCAAATCCCACAAAAAGCGAACATTCTGAACTGTCATTGACTCGAGAAGCGGTTTTGTGTGCCCATTACTTTTTATGACCAGGTTGATGTTAACAGTTCTTCATAGACAACCCGTCGTCCTGGGGCATCTTAGTGTCTAACAAAAATATATAGTATCAGGAGCTTTTGGGGGCAAAACCCACTTCCTCAGATGAGATGGGGACTGGAAGTAGGGCAAAGCACAGAACTTCTCCAGTACCTCTACATAAGCCCAATAACTTGTGTTCCAACATGTGCATTGGGTACTTTTCAACATGCTGATGACTTCCTGGGAACCCTAACCCAACACAACATGATGTGTGTCCTTGCAGGCAGTCTGCAGGCCACTCGGGCACTGATGGTGATTGGCATTCTCCTGGGACTCGCGGCCATCTTTGTGGCGGTGGTGGGCATGAAATGCATGAGGTGCATGGAGGATGACGAGGTGAGGAAGATGAGGATGGCTGTCGTCGGCGGCATTATCTTCATTGTGGCAGGTGGGTAACTTTTCTAAGACCGAACCCACCTCTAGGGGCCGGCTTTTGAGAAGGGTTTACCTGGCAATACCTGTTAGTTGTGTGGGGAACATCTGGAAACAATTGTTGCCTTCACTTATTAACCCCTTGGAAATTGGAGGCATACATCGCATGTCCTAGGGCCGGTCTTTCGTTTGGTCGGCCTTCTCCAAAATGGCAGTGGTCCAAAGACTTACACTAATGAGCTGGACTGGAGTGTTTCATTTGGTCGGCCTTCTCCAAAATGGCAGAGGTCCAAAGACTTACACTAATGAGCTGGACTGGCCTGTTCTCTAGTGTCCTGGCTGTCTCATGAGCTGGAAAGTCCCAAGAGCACTGAGATGTCAGGTCTATGCCACCAAAGGGACCCAGATTCATCGCGTGCCCGAACGGGAAGGGACCTCGAGAGGGCATCAAGTCCAGTCCCCTGCCCTCCCGGCAGCCCACAAGGCGGCTGTCCCCGGTGCAAGGGAGGTGAACTCTCCCCCTAGGATGCCCTGGGATTTGTGGCTGAACTGGCCAGACTGTGTTTATGGTGCTGGATCCTCATTTCTGCTACCCAGTGCCGGCCTGCAGCTTCACGTTTGCCCTCAAGTTGTGGGTGCTCACAACGGCAGTTCCTCAATGCACAAATCTTTGCTGGGGGGGAGAGGGGGACTCCCTATTGACCAACCGTTTCATTGTCTGAATTTCACTGGCAGGTTCTGCTGTCTTGGTGGCCACCTCCTGGTATGGAAGCCGAGTGGCGCGGGATTTCTACAACCCTTTCACCCCCGTCAACACCAGGTAACCACCAGTTCTGCCTCGCCACCCTGAACCATCCAGCAAAGGAGGGTCACAGAGCAGGGACTGACCCCTCCCAGTCCATGGGAACTTTGCCGTGGCTTTCAGCTTGGGGGATTGTCCCACGGCTCACGTTAGAAGGGAGTGAGCTGACACATGCTTCTGGGCTGCACCCAGAGCCACGTGACGGCATCCCCCCTCCCAAATCCTACCACTAGAGCAGGCCCCCCACGGGCGTGTATAAATTCGGGGACTTTTCAAGTTTTCTCCTGAAAGGTTGTGGATCCCGGCTCCCCACCGCCTGGCACTTTGACACCAGTGCAATGCCAGGGCGTCATGGTGCCACGCTGGAACAGTCGCGCTCGGCACAGAGATCCACGCCGCCGTACGGCTCCGTGGCGAACCCAGCCTCTGGGGTCTCGCACTCCCACCAGACTCCTCAGGAGTAAACCTGCTCCAGGGATGTTAGAACCATGGAATCCCTGGGCGGGCAGAGACCTCAGGAGTCACCGAGTCCAACCCCCTGCCCCACGCAGGACCAACCAACTCAGTCATCCCAGCCAGGGCTGTGCCAAGCCGGGACTGAAACACCTCTAGGGATGGAGATTCCACCCCCTCCCTCGGGAACCCATCCCAGTGCTTCCCCACCCGCCTAGGGAAATCGTTTTCCCTAATGTCCAACCTAGACCTCCCCCACTGCACCTTGAGCCCATTGCTCCTTGTTCTGCCACCTGCCCCCACTGAGAACAGCCCCTCTCCATCCTCTCTGGAATGCCCCTTCAGGGAGTTGAAGGCTGCTATCAAATCCCCCCTCGCTCTTCTCTTCTTCAGACTAAAAAAGCCCAAATCCCTCAGCCTCGCCTCGTAGGTCACGTGCTCCAGCCCTCGAATCATTTTGGTCACGCCCTGTTGGACTCTCTCCGATGTTCATGTGCTTGGCTCCATCGAGGCCCAGTGGAGCAGAGTCCTGCTTCTTCAGTTGTTTGAAACCACCATTTTTCATCTCCTGCTGTCGCTTTTGCCGTGCCAGGACTCTCCTTTCTCCTAGCTGGGATCATGTAACAGCATGGGAAGGCCAGTCAGGAGCCCAGCTGGTGAACAAACAGTGAAATAGTGTTAAATGATTGTAAACCACTCGCCTTTGTAAAAGAAGGACTATTGGTTTCACTTTTCTCCCCATTTTTAATTTCATTTTTAAAATGTTGAATTTAGAGCAAACTTGAATGGCGATTTAACTGGTTTATCCCTTGATATTAAACTAAAATTAGGGTGGGGTTGCAACTTTTGCTCTGAAATAAATATATTCCATGGGGTTCCTCGAGGGGCTGTAGATCTCCAAGTGCTTTGCGAAATAGAGACAGCACCCCTACCGCATTGGACAGATGGGGAAACTGAGGCAAAGAACAGTGGTATGCCCAGAGTTGCGCAGCAGGTGAATGGCAGAGCCAGCTCTGGCATTTTGGCGTCTAGCACAGTCGGCTATAAACAGCAGAACAATGAGTCTTGACTGTTCCAGCAAAGCTGCACAGACGCTTTTGGCCTTTGATGTGCCTTTCTGTGATGCTTACAACCTCCCTGCTGCCAATTAGTTCTAACGAGCGTCCGTAGTTTTTGCAAAGGGCTGTGTGAAGCTGTTTTGCTGCGCTCCATATTTTCTGGGCATCGGGGAAGTGATCTGGATTCTTTTCATCTGATTTCCTGTGCCAAACAAATGGCCAAACGGGAGTGGTGAACCCGGAGGCAAAACGTGGTGATCTGTAGTAGACTAACTCATTCGCCAAGCCTTTTGTGGTGCATTGTAGTGTGAAATCCTACTGCGGGCTCAATTCTGTGTCATGTTTTCACCACAAAACCCTCTCTCCGCAATGGCAGTTTGACTTATTTAACTCCCACTGTAAGAGCATCAAATATGCATTTTGCCATTGGGCCAAATACACTAGTGGCGTAATAGTGCCAGGCCTATGACCTTGGTGGGCTCACCTGTGGCTCCCTGTGGCTTTCTGCGCTGCGGGTGGGAGGGGAATGGGAAACTGGCCAATGAGGGCTGAGAGATTTTGCTGGGGGCGGGAGCAGCGCAGCACAGTATCTCAGCTCCCATTGGCCGGTTTCCAGCCAAAAGGAGCAGAAAGATTTTGCTGGGGGCGGGAGCAGCGCAGCACAGTATCTCAGCTCCCATTGGCCGGTTTCCAGCCAAAAGGAGCAGAAAGATTTTGCTGGGGGCGGGAGCAGCGCAGCACAGTATCTCAGCTCCCATTGGCCGGTTTCCAGCCAAAAGGAGCAGAAAGATTTTGCTGGGGGTGGGGGCAGCATGTGAAACCTCTCCTCACCCCCCAGCACAGAGAGTCACATGGAACAGCCCACAACCGTTTCCTTCATCCGATCCCACACCCTCCCCTGCACCCCACTCCCTTACCCCGAGCTCCCTTCGGCACCTAATCTCCATCCCAGACCCCCCCCCTTACATCCCTCTCCCAGGCCAGAGTCCTCTCTTGCACCCATACCCCCTCCCAGACCCTGCCCCCCAACCCACTGCCCCAGGTCACAATCGTTTCCTTCATCCAAACTCCCTCTCCGACCCCACACCCTCTCCTGCAGCCCAGTCCCTTACCCCGAGCTCCCTTTGGCACCTGATCTCCATCCCAGACCCCTCTCCCCAGCCCTTGACCACTTACCAAAATCTTGGCATGGCCCCTCCATCGAAAATTATTGCCCACCCCTGGTCTAGTTTGTGGGAGCAAAGAAAGACTTGGAAACATGACCCAGGTGCTATCGGCAAGCTCAGAAGCTGGAAGGCCAGGAAAAGAAACCCACTGTGTTTTCTATGTTTAAATAGCATTCTTTTGTTAGCCAATCTCATGATTTCGGGGAGGGGAGCGGGGCTGACTCCGTATTTTTAGGCCTGGCAGTATAGGTCTACTGAACGAGGGTTTGCTGCGTGTTTGGCCGGAGTTTGCTGGAGTCCTTTTGCCTCTGCTCCTAGAACGTTTTGATCTGAATCCTTATTGGTTATTTCTCCCCAGATTTGAATTCGGACTGGCCCTCTTCATCGGCTGGGCAGCTGCTGTTCTCACCATTTTGGGAGGCGCCTTCCTCTGCTGCTCCTGTCCACGAAGAGAGGCGTCCTACCCCGTGGGAGGAAAGGATTATGTATAATCCAGAGGCGAGAGGACCGCCCGGTGTCGGCGACGAAGCTCATGAAAGAGAGGAGGTGGTGATCGGACTTTCTGCACGCCGCCTTCCTTTTCCTCCGGCACACATGTATATTTTTATAACCCTCCTTCTTCCCGGACATGACCCCTCCAGCCCAGAGAGGAAGACTGTCCTTGTTCGTAGGCACTCGGAAAAGTGCAGCCTCCACACTTGTGTTCATCTTGGTCCTGCAGCTCCCTGGGTGAGAAGGGAAAGCGATGTCCTTTTCAGACAAGTATTTGTGCTTTAGATACATATACAAACCCGATTAGATGCTAACGAGCCAGCCCTTCGATCCCAGGAAGCGGGAGCCTAGTGCGGTATATAGCGTATCTTTTCCTATACAACGTGATAGAAATAGTAATGTTAGAAGAAATGCCCCTAACTTGGGGAGAGACCCGCCCAAGAGTCCCTGGTCTAAGAGGGTCTAATATGGTCTTAGGGTTTTGTGATGGCTCCCTTTTTCCTCTCTCTTGTACCCACGCAAAATATTATAGAATCATATTGGCAGAAATTAGCAAACCCAGCAGCATCCTGCAGTGTCTTTCTGATATTATGTACCCTGAATTTGCCTTTGCTGAGTTTTATCTCTTACTCTTACCAGTATGACTACACACAAACACACACCTGCATGTGCATGTTACACACACACACACACACACACACACACACACACGCCAGTGGGTGCCACCTTAAACAACTGCTCTACTCCTTCAAGTTTGCTCCTTTCAGCTATTACTTACCATATCCAATCCACACCCACGTCCTTAGGCATCTCATAGTTGAGTGGAACGTTCTTTTCTCAGACTCCGTCTCCTTCGCTTTGTTGTAATTATTTTTGACTCCCCATCTCCCCAAACTGTCGGCTTTGTTCTGGGAGGGCAACGGCCATGCGCTATGTTCCAGGTATATTCTCTCCTTCATGTCACAGAGGGGATAGCACCAATTTTCCCCCAATTTTTTTCCATCCATGGGCAGAATAAATTTTGCTATGTGCACTGAGGCATGAGTGAAGGTGCACCACCCATAGAAACATACGTGGGCACTCTGCTAATCAGTTGGTTGGAATTTTCATCTCCTCTGGCACTCACCTTCCAGGGAACACTAATTAGCACCTCATCAATCTATAATGTGATGCCTCTGCAGAGGCAGCACACACGGGTACTGATTTGTGTTTCACTGTCTCCCTGCAAAAGCCAATCTGAGCTGCCATCCTCTGTCACTTGTAGGCCTCTTTCAGCATGGCTCCTTTCTGTTTCCTGCAGTTTACTTGTCTGTCCCAGCTGAATTAACTTGCAAATTTGTAGGATGACTAACTCATTTGTTAAAGGTGCTCTTAGAATCATAGAATCCCAGGGCAGGCAGAGACCTCAGGAGGCATCGAGTCCAGCCCCTGCCCAGAGCAGGACCAACCCAACTCAGTCAGCCCAGCCAGGACTTTGTCAAGCTGGGACTTTTAAACACCTCTAGGGATGGAGATTCCACCCCCTCCCTAGGGAACCCATCCCAGCGCTTCCCCACCCGCCTAGGGAAATAGTTTTGCCTCATCTCCAACCTAGACCTCCCCCACTGCGACTTGAGACCATGGCTCCTCTTGCTCGCTGGATTGCTTTTTACTTCTCTATCCTTGTGCTGTTTGCAGCTCTTTGGCTGCGCCGCCCCCGGGAATGAACGGCACGTGGTTTGTCTCTTCCCTCAAGCCATTCAGAAATATTTTGAACCAGACTGAGCCGGGGCCAGTCCCAGAAAGATTCCCCTGGGATATCACCCCAAACATACCTGGAGTTCAGTGCACTGCCGGTTTACACTTGCATTGTTACAGATCCAAGTCTCAAAAGTTTTGAGACACTTTTCACCAAAGAGGGAGCCAGAGCCCTGATGTGCCCGTGATCTGTGCAAGCAGGCAGAGCAGAGGAAAGCAACTCGAGCTGTTCTGTTGCGCTTTCCCTAAAGCAGCTGGTACGAGCCACTGTCTGAGTCACGAGACTAGACCGGCTCTGATCTAGGCTGGCAATTCCCGGGTTCCTTCGTGGGCCGAGGCCGGTCCGCCTGAAACACGTTGGTGGCTTCTGTAGACTTGGCCTATGTCCAGCGGTGGTCAAATTGCTTGGCACCTTAATATGAGGAGGGGCAGGCCCGGCGGCTGAAATATGGAAGCCATATTGGCTGGGCCTAGGGTTGCTCTGGCAGCCACTGGTGCTGTGGGACCTTACGGAGCATTGGCTGGTGTTGGGACCAGGCCTGCAGCCTCCTGTCCCTACAGCTCCCAGGAATGTGTGTGCACAAAACCTGCCTGGGGAGTCGCTGGCTTGACAAGTCGGCAGCCCGGGCTGGGTCTGTCGGCAGCATTGCTCAGCCTCCGTTCTTGGGCAGGCAGGTCTGAGCCGGGGCGGGGGACCTGTACAAAGTGTTACGCGAGGTTTTCAATAAATGGATTTTTTTTAAAGAAAACCCAATGGCACCGTTCGTTTTTGCCACCGAGCAGCAGCCGCGGTGGGGTGGGGGGAGGGTGGAAGAGACGGCACAGCAGGGATTGGGCCCTGGGGAGTCAGGCTGACCGAACAAGGCCTGTTGCTCTACCCCGTGTCCCTGGATACAAGGGGGCCAACAGCCTCTGCGGGCCCGGGGAGGGGGGCGGGTC